AGAAACAGAAAAAGCAGTAAGGAAATTTTTAAAAGAAATCTTTCATTGTGAGTTGTTTAGAAAGACAGGTTAAGGCATTTACTGTATTAAAACATACACAATATATGATTTTTAGACTAATCGTGACACTTAAATTTTTAATTTTCCAAAAATATATATATTTTGTTACTTTGGCAGCAAAAATAGAGAAAGAATGTTAACAGGACAAACCACAAAGTGCTATATTGATCCCTCCCAGCAATTGTTTATCATAGAGCTACAGGAGGACAATTTGACTTATGCATGTTTGAGTTTCACAAAGTATTATTTTTCTGAACTGCCCGCTGTGAAGGACATCAGAGAGATAGTGAAGTTGTATAAAAGGTCATTCCCTTCAAAATAAGCTGTTTGGCTCAACTTATAAAGGACAAGGGCTATGCACTGAAAAAATAACCATGAACAGGCACAACCCTGTATTCTTTACTCAGGCAAAATTCACAAAGACTTCATTAGGAATTTTGCCTCAATAGGGAGTACAAGATCAAGCTCATTACTGACTTTCATAAGAGGTGGCAAGATGAAAATCTTAATATAGGGAAAGCCTGAAGAATGGTTATGTGATTTCCCCTACACAAAAGACTATGAAGGCGTGAAGAAATTTCTAGTGATGTGGATGCTGAACGGCGAACAGTTCAAGGGAATGAACTGTTGCAACTAAAAAAAACAACCAACAACAACAGGCTCATGCATTACATTTAAATTAAGATGCACACGAGAATATTGTTTTTGGACTCCCAGAGGGGAACAGGGCTGGACAAGGCAGGTTCACTTCATAGAAGAATAGTATAAAAGACTGTAAAATTGTTTTACTGACTCTTTTTTGTTTCATTGCATACTCTCATCAGTGAGGAGTGAAGACTGTGGAGGAAGCAGAGGGAAGAGAACTTCAGACCCACAGAACCCAGGGATCTGTGCATCACTGTGCCACAGCTCTCCAGTTCCTGGAGCTATGTGTACTTCTGTCCAGCCCCTCCATGTTGCCTGCTGGTTCCTCTCCCCCTGATGGTGTGGTTCTTACAGGAGCTTTGGTGCAACTGTTTGCTTCTTTCTGTGGCCATGTAACAGCAGAGGGAATTCACTGGCAGCTAATGATCTTTGGAGCAGTGTTAACAGCTGCTCAGTTATCCATGTGGTCTGCAGAGCGGCATGCCATGGAAGAGAGCATCCCTTGCTCTGCTAGTTTTAATTGCCCTCCATTAGTGGAAATGAAGAGCAGCATTTGGGCCACAATGCTAGCCAGTCCTGGTAAGTTCTGCTCCTCTCTTTGTCTCCTGTTTAATGTGGCTTCCATGGAAGTTCTGACACAACAAGGTACTTGAAGAGGACCCTACATGTACACACTGCACTTACTTTCCTATTCAGCTGTCTTATGGTGTATCATTAAAAACAAAAACAAGCAAACAAACACACAAACAAACAAACAACAGCTCTGCATGAAGTCTCAGGTCCATAACTAAACCCCAGTTTCAACTTTCTGAATTTTTTTGTTCAATTCAATTTTTAAAAGCTGTGTGGTTTGCTTACTGGAATTACCCTAATTAACCTTCTGGTCAGGGGCTAAAGAGAGTGAATCATTTTAATCAATTAAACCTTTAATTTAGAGCTTCTACTTCCTGCTGTTAATCTTGAACACCATGGGATATTGATTACCTCAATTATTTTGTCAATAATGCATGCACAATTACATAAAAGTTCAGTAAAAGCTATTAGACATAATGCATAAGCAAGTCACGCAACTGTCCAAAGAAAAACTCTTAGTGCCCAAAATTGTAAAGTAGTGATATAAAATGATATCTGAGCAAGCAATACAATGCTTAAGAGAATTTTTTTTGTATTTGCCCACAGGAAATAGATTACAGCATAACGCTATTTGATCATCCTGGGCAAGAACTGCTTAAGTCAGAATCTGAATGTAAAGGTCACTAAAGATATGCAATAGCTTAAAAATGCAGTTATCATACTGGACCTAGTATTTACATAATATGTGCATACAAAGCTTTAAATCATCATGAGATTTCTGAGCAATACCCATCATTCACAGAAGTTTAATAGAGCATGAAATCTGCAAAAAGCAATTTCTTTTTCAAACACCACATTACCTTTTTTATGAACCAAACAACCCACAAGTGACCAGAAAAAAAAAAGTTTTCTTTAAATTCTCTCAGACCGTGGAGGGAGACTAGGACACATTCTGAATAAGAAAAGTGGCCAGACCCAGCTAAAAGTAATCCTATTAAAGACAACAGAGTTAAATGAGTAAGAAGAGAAAGGTTTAGTGCCATGTGTGATCACTGCAAAACTGTCTGGTAATTATATATGCCAGTACACATGAAGATATAATGTGGTCATACTAGATCACCTCAATAGTCTATCAAGTCTAATATCCTGTCTCTGGAAACTGCTTACACCTGATGGTCACAGAAAGATGAAGGAAAAACAATGCCCCTGGATGACTTGGCAATGCTGTTCATAGGCAGAGAGCAGGCGTGATTCCTTCCTGAACCCTGCAGCCATCAGCCTACACGCTGAAGCATGAAATTTCTTTAACCCTTGCTCAACATATCAAGAATCATGAAGTCATCCAGCCTGTTTTACACCACAGGTCTCCCTAGAGTGCCAAATTTTTAATGAAAATTTCAGGTGAGTCAGACCACAGGGCTCCTCACATTGAATTAAATATAGAGTCACACAGGACAAAGTTTTGCTTGTTCTACAAAAAAATGAATAGTTTACAATTTGATTGTAAGCTCCTTGGGGTAGGGATTGTCTCTTAATGTGTGTTTGTAAAGCACCCACAGAGATCCATTGTATTCGGGATGTCTACATTGCCATAAGAAAACCATAGCACTGAGTCTCAGAGGCCAGGTCAGCTGACTCGGGCTGCAGGACCATAAAATTTCAGTGTAGACAGTTGGGCTAGGGCTGAAGCCCAAGTTCTGAGACTCTCCCCTCTCATAAGGTCTCTTAGCCCAGGCTCCATCCTGAGCTCAAATGTATAGACTGCAATTTTGCAGCCTGAGCCCCACAGGCCTGAGTCAATTGACTCAAGCCAGCCACCTCTTAACAGTGACTCGAGCCAGCCACCTCATTACAATGTAGACATATCGTAAGGCTGACTGAGCCTTTGAGCATTACCATCTTACAAATAATGCACTGTTCTACTTTGCCGGCCTTTGTAGAATTGTACTTGCAAATCTAATAAACAAAGTCTCACTAAAGAGCCTCAGTTTGTACATCAGAACTCTATGGAAGTGCTCTATCTCTCAAAAGGAAAAAAACAACAACAGTGAATGTGTAAGCCATAAAGGGCCTCTTCTCTATCAGAGATGAAAATTCCTTTCTTTCAAAACAACTTTATGGAGTCATTTAAACATCAAATTGCACATTTTATTTATCCCCATTAGATTATAATTTCAAGTTCAGGATACTACTTTGGAAGAACCTCCTAGTATGTCTCTGACATGATCTTATAAAAATCTCTCCATGTTTCACTTAATATAACTTTGGAAGGATCTCAAGACATAATAAAAAAGCAACATTAGAGCCTTAATGATTTGCAGACTGATACTCTTATCATGAAGTCTAATTTAAAAACCCACCTTCATATAAATGATTATTTAAATGCAAAATAAAATGTAAAACAATGAAGCCTTGATAATATGAATGCAAGTGAGAGGAAACACAAAATGACTATTCATGTGTTTAAAGGTTAAAAGGAAGTTTCTGTCTTTGGACAAAATGCAAATATTAATTTGGGGGAATGATTCTAAACGTCACATTCATATATGTGTACTCCAAGCTTTTTGTGGTCCTTAATGAAAGTCAGCACACTATATTCAAGGGCAAGGATATGAAATCTATAAGAATCCTGATATTTTGCAAAACAAGGATCACAAAAGTAATGGATATACAATTAGAACCATACTGTAAAATAAAGTACCTGAACAGACAATACCACTTTTTGCAGTTAGAACATAAGAATGGCCATACTGGGTCAGACCAAAGGTCCATCTAGCTCAGTATCCTGTCTTTTGACAGTGGCCAATACTAGGTGCCCAGGGGGAATGAACAGAACATGTAATCAAGTGATCCATCCCCTGTCACCCATTCCCAGCTTCTGGCAAACAGAGGCTAGGGACACCATCCCCCGTCCATCCTAGCTAATGGCCATTTAGTTCAGCTTTGCCTATCTTTCTTTCATCAAAAGTTAAAACTTGATCTCCTCCGATTGTTTCAAACACTGATGTAAAATATACCATGTCTAACAGATTATTTAGCTGGTGTATACAATAAATTAGATGTTTTTCACAAACATCCTCACCCCCCGCCTTTTTTTTTAAACAAACAAGCAGAGTATTTGGGCGTACATATCCTGTTTACTTTTTACCATGGAGCTAGCAGCAATCTTCTACATGTTTTCATGCTATTTCTTTCACTTCTGCAGTAGCTGAGGACTCCATTAATTATCACAGTTTATTTATTAGACAGTAACTTATGGAGACTTGTGCTTAAGCGTAGCAAAAAATATAGTTATACAGATGACAAGTTCAGCCTCCACATAAGAGAGTTTTAGGAGTGTTGCTTCTGGAACATGTCTTCTCAGGAGAGCACAAATCATCACACAATTCACATAGGGTTTGAAATAAAAATGAATGGAACAAAAATAAAAATAGAATTGTCATGTACTAAATGTTCCTCAAAACTATTATACTATAATATACAAATTATAGTTACTACATGAAGTGGCAATCAGTGGTTCTGTATTTGTTTCAAGCTATTACTGAAGCCAGACAAGGTAACTATACAAACCTTTTCATATACACTAACCTTGCAAAGTAATTAAGAGTCTGTGCGGGCGGGGATGGGGGGGAGGGCACAGATTTTACTTCATGTTTTCACATTATAGGTTTGCCACTGGGAAATGTGGAACTAAAATTTAGGCATAAATTTTATTTTTATAAAACCAGTCTTCAAGATTAATCTTTGCCTATCAACTTCTACCACTGCCATAACATACAAATTGTTCTGCTTGAAATACATAGACCAGACACATAGTGTGGTGATAACTTTTGAGATTTATCTCTAAACATGAAAGAGATGGTACTTTTTTCAGAGGCATAAATTGTATTTAGTACTAAACCTTATTGCAATTTTTGTTTTAAAAGCCAGAAAAGCCTGCCTATTAGGAAATCTAGAAGGATATTTATTCTAAATTTAATCAATATATATCTGTATGCTACGTGTCAATCAGGCACATGAAGCCAAATTAATCCCTCGTGTCACTTTGTGGAAGTCAGTGGAGTTGGATCAGGGATGAATCAGACTCAGGACTTTTAGTTTTTGTTTTCATTAGATGAACTTTCATTTTTATTCATACTGTAAATGAGAACAATGAATAATGACGACTTCCATACCTGCTGCAGGGGTGCAGCTAGAAGTCCAAATGAATGGGGTGCCTCAAGTTGGCCACCCAAAATGTAAGCCCCCTAATCACTAGTCCCTTTTGAGAATGTAAGTTATTACTACTACAACAGTTGTTTGTTAACTGACTCTGGACTTACTTTAAAGGATTTATTATGTTATGTATTTATTCATTCAGATTTATACACATTAAATGAAGATCACCTATCCATATGTTCCAGGCACACTAGAGACAACCCGAAAATTCAACAAAATCAGTGCCCAAATGTAATTAAAGTATAGCAGTACAATTCAAGACAACCCACCAACAGCAAACAGGCAATCCAATACCAAATTTACCTCCCCCTCTAACAATTGTCCTCCTATTCTCAACTGGCTGAAGAAAAAAAAGACGAAGTTTGCCATCTGAAGGTAGTCCAAGTTAACCTCTTTGGACAAGAAGGTGAGTGAACTGTAAAGCAATTTTCATGGAAAGCACTATGCTACAGCAGCTCCTTCTCAGGTCTACTAGTGAGACTTCAGCTCAAACATCTCATCTGATCTCAGCTGTGGTGGTCTGGTAGACAGGCAGGTTCTAAGCTGTTTAGGGCTGTATAATCAAAATAGACACCTTAAACAACACCTGGAAACCTACAAGTCACTAGTGAAGTTCATGGAACATGGGTTGAATATGTTCACAGCAAGGTATTGCACTTAATAGATGAGCTGAAATATTGCATCAACTCCAGTTCATGGTTTTAAGGTGTATCCCTTTGTGCATCATGGTAATCTAATATTAAAATGACAGACATGAATGACAGTTACAACGTCCACATCCAAGAAGCGCACACAATTTTATCTGGTTGAAAAAAAAATAGTCTCCTAGCTCCACTGGACACATACATCGCTTTTAACAACAACTACTTTTAAGCTTTCAGTTATTCTGACTAGTTGGCTGTTTTTGATGGCCCAAAAGGCTCTCAGTTCAGGACAAAACAGGGAACATTTTGAAAGAAGCTCAGGTTTTTCACATCTGCCAGACAGACTCTTTTGTAGTACACCATTTCTGGAGATGGAATCTAACTGTTTCTCATGAAATATCAATCCTTTTTGTCCTCCACAGCCTGGCCCAATAGAGAACATGAAGTACTTTTATTGCATTCTGTGTGCCAAAAGCTTCCCACCCATGCTTTGAATTCACCTTATTTTTCAGTAATTCCTCCTTATGATAATAAAAGTGTTCATGAAGGTGGAAAAGAAAAGTTACTAAGCTAAAACACCCCAAATGTTTACCTTTGAACAGACTCAACGAGCGGACAACATTTATTACCAAACAAATAGCTTTATCAACAAATGCAATCCATTATGAAAATAATAGATATACCATAAACCCTTTTAGAGGTTTACTAGAGCTTTTTTCTATCTACTGGAAATTTTAGTTATGAGTTCCATTGTGCCAAGGACAGACCAGTCTTTTACAGACACTTACCCTCTGACAGCATGAATAAGTCTCAGTGATGGATAGGCGGTTCGCACTTTCAATTTATTCTTAAGGATTAATGCATTAACCCACTCCACATGCTTCTCTCCGCCTTTCACCATGAAAGCAGGGATCCAAAGGACACTGTCATTCAGCATGGATAGTCTATGCACAAATTTTTCTCTGTCACTCTCATTCCGAAAGCCTCCAAATGCTCTTTGTACAACTGATGGATTCATGGTAATAAAATCAGATTTAGTTCCCACATCTGCAGCAAACTCCACCACAGGGGCTAGATTGCACCTGAAGAGGAAAAAATTAATGGACAAATGAAAATAAATATGAACCATTAACTTAGATAAGGGTATGCATGAAGGAAAAGCTGAAAATGAACATGTAAAACTGTTTCAAACTAGGTGAGCTAAAAAGTACCAATGGTAATCTGCATGATATTACTTAGTGCTGTATAAAGCCTGGATGTTCCCAGCATGTTCTAAAAAAGGTATTAAGTGTAATCAACTCGGTGAAGAAGATACTGTATAATACATTTAAAATTCATATAATTAGTGTTCAAACAGAATGTGTCAATACGTAGACAAGTGCTTAACAATAACAATATGTCTCTTACAGCTATTGTTATTTTCACTAATGTGCATTTGTTTAACCTATCTTGATTAAATTCCTTGGAAACAGCTCAAGCTCTTAAAGGTTGTCATGCCAATCAAGTAAAATTCATTTATTTTTGTTATCCATTTCGTAGTTTGTACAGCATAGCATTTCATACCAATCACAAATAACTGTCAGAAAAATCGAACTGGTTTGGGTTTGTTTCGTTGTCAGTAAAGCTGACTGAAAAATTCTGACAATCACAATTTGGATTTTTCATTTTTCATCTAAGTTTCAAGTTTTGACCAAAAGAGTGACTTTTTTTGTGAAAATTATGTCCCGTTTTTAGACCAGCGGAAGTTGTCAGCGAAAGAATTGCTTTCTCCAATTTTGAGCTTGTTCAGGCCTTTTCCACCAACATGTAACTTCTAATAATCACCAACTAAGCAAAAAGAGACCAGTCTCTTAAAGTTTTACTGTAACATATTGGCCGCTAAGCTCATCATTAGTAACACATCCACATATTATACACCTGATAATATTTAAAATCTGTTCTAGAATAAATTGCATTTAAAACTTTTAATATATAAAATATATCTCCAGAAGAATATGAGAATCTATTTACTGCATATACGCACAGGACAAACAAGTATCAACATAGGTAGGGTTTTTCTTACTCATTTCTTTGTTTCTGCAGTTGTTGCCTTGCAACAAAATCTTCCTACTCTTCCACTGAGTTTTCATTTTGTTTGTGACAAAAATGGGATGTAATTTTTGCAAAAATTGTCATAAAATTTAATGTAGTGACTATTCTATGCTGCTCATCAGAATCATAAATGTGCCCCTTGAAAACATTGAATTTATCCTCACAACACTGCCGTCCCAGTCTAGTGCTTTAATCACAAGAGCTGCCTTCCTCTCAATAATTCTCAAACAGGGTAAGTTTAAATAAAGAAAGTTAAGTGTGAAGTAGGAGTTGAAGTGGAAAAACATATTGGGTCCACTTCATATCTGTGTTGTAACTCAAATGAAGTAACTAGAGTTTGTACAGGTGCCAGCACAATGGCTAATTCTGAATGTGATCCTTGGCACTACTATAATATAAATAATAGTTATTATAATAGAGGTTAATTCATTTCCCAAGAAACAAGATTTGCAATGCAAATTCTATTACCTGCACATACAAGTGCTAGAATCACATGGATGTGAAGGATATGGTGCTGACATTTTTTTTATGTAAAAGTGCACTGACACAAATTCGGCCAATATGTCTTTAAGACAAACCTCTTCTGATCTGGCAACTACAGTACTGTTTAGGTAGCATCATCTCTCTTCAATTACAAAGGTTTTCTGCAGTTAGAAAATGGTGCCTAAATGTAATTTCCCCATAAACCTGAAAAATAATTATATGAGAAACATACCTAATGCAAAATGTTATGTTTTATAATGGTATACTTTTTTTGATCTAATATATCTGGCAGTACATGTTTTATAACAGGCAGCATCATGAGATTTTTCAACCCGGAGTTAGAAAAGGTAATAAGCCAGCCCAAATTCACTCCTTGGTAATTGAGGTGTCCCGGCATTGTTATTAAACACCTTAATCAATTTTTTTTCAAACCTTGGTGCCTCATTATATGGATAGAGAAATTTAAATAAGTGGTTTTATTGTTAGACATGCTGTGTATCTTCAATATTGATGCTTGGTCCTCTGAGAATCTAGTCAGTTATTTTAGGTACATAATTATGAATTTAAGAGAATCATTTTAGATACTCAGTTTGAAAAACTTTTGTGATAGTAAAAGTAAGACAATGCTCTGTGAAACTCTAATTTCATGGAAGTACCTCAATGTTGCTATGCTAGTGCAGTGCCTACACTATTATTATTTTGGTAGAATACCAGTGTAATACTAGCTGTTACAGCAATATAGAATTGTGTTAGGAGAATGAACAATACTACCTTGGGAGCAGCTGATTGCTTTATAATAGTATTATCACACTTTGCTCACTTCCCACCTATTTAACAGATTTTTTTCCCCTCCAAAAATGTGGCTTACAGAACAGAAGATAGCAGTACTTAATGTTTTCTCAATAGCTTAATAGCTTATAGCCTAGTCTAGAAGCAATGCAAAATCTTGCAAAATCTGTAAATTAAAAATAGCACATTCTTCACAAAGCAGCTTATGGTACAATTGTTTCTGCCATTCTAACTGACCCATCCAAGACTGACTTAGAACAACGCTTCCTTAGCTCTCGTCCCCTAACGCCCCTACTCTACTTGCGCTACATTGATGACATCTTCATCATCTGGACCCATGGAAAAGAAGCCCTTGAGGAATTCCACCATGATTTCAATAATTTCCATCCCACCATCAACTTCAGCCTAGATCAATCCACACAAGCAGTCCATTTCCTGGACACTACTGTGCTAATAAGTGATGGTCACATAAATACCACCCTATACCGGAAACCTACTGACCACTACACTTACCTACATGCCTCCAGCTTCCATCCAGGACACACAACACGATCCATTGTCTACAGCCAAGTTCTAAGATATAACTACATT